TATCGTTGGAGCACCATTATAGAATCAGAAGTTCCATAATCGCAACATATTTGCGATGAAATTGCTAGCAAAATCTAGTGCTCCCCTACAACTGAAGTACTTGAATAATGATTAACATATCCTCCGGTATCTTCGAGATACAAAGACATGACATTTATGTAAGAAACCATGATACGGTTTTAATAGGCTACTTGGGTACTGGCTGTTTTGTTTGATCCCCGCAATGCCAAGTCTAAACTGGTTATACAATGAATTTCCCTAAACGTTCAAATGAGGACAATAACACTTGTGTTGCACAAATGTTATATGAGCTCTAGAAGAGCCATAAGATTATTGTACACTACTCTAGTGACAATCCAGAAGATTTGTCTAATCCATCTCTTCAAATTTTGAAATATATGTAAAACTTGAAGATTGTTATCTTCAGGGGGAGACGGGAAGTACATTTACTCGAATCAATCCGGAAGATTGAACGTAGAATCATGAAGATTAAGTCATAAAAGACTAACAATTGCGCACTATTTGCAACACAACGGGAAATACATTTACTTGAATCAATCCGGAAGATTGAACGTAAAATCCTGAAGATTAAGTCATAAAAGACTAACAGTTGCGCACTATTTACAATGCATAAAAACATAAATATCATGTACTCTTTTCCTCACTAGTTTTCTCCCATTGGGTTTTCTAGTGTGGTTTTTAACGAGGCATGAGTATGATATAATAATGACAATGAGGAAAAGTTGCAAAATAATTGCTTAAATAGACAAACCCCAAAATCCTGAAGATTATGCGGTTTGCGCCCTTAAGGCTTATGGTTGTACTCTTTTTCCCTTAACTAAGTTTTTCCCACAGGGTTTTCTTAAGTTAAGGTTTTTAATGAGGCGACCAATACAATATATGTTTTTACATATATCATGTACTCTTTTCTTCAACTAGGTTTTTTCCCACGTGGTTTTCCTAGTGAAGTTTTTAATGAGGCATGTATGTTATCCATATACCTTGTACTCTTTTCTTGTTTAGGTTTTTCCCACAGGGTTTTTCTAGCAAGTTTTTAACGAGACAAGATCGTGGTCAAATAATGTCCAAGGGGGAGTGTTATAAATAATATACTTATTATGGACATTATTATCCATGTTGTAACAACCATATTGTAACTGATGTACTTATTCATATTTAGTACATATATTTATGCTTACCTTGTATATATATATATTGCCATAAGAATGAATAAGATATGGGCAATTCTCTCTCCATTCTCTGGTCTCCCTTCTTCTCCGATTCCTGTCTTCTTTTTCCTTTAACATATTTTAAATATTTATTTTTAGTATATTATTTGAAATTTAAACTTATAATATAATACATGAAAATTAATTTTTAAGTATATTAAAAATGAACACTAATAAATATATATTGTATTGTAAATCATGATTCATGACATAATTTACCTAATTTGGTAGTTAGTAAATATATAATTATGAGGCACTTTATTGCAAGAGGGAATTAGGGGGAAAAAATTACAATTCAATGTGAGACAGATAATGAGTATAGAGAGAATATAATTCAAATTCTTTCTAGGTGGTGAGAATATAATTACTATATTTATTATAAATTTAAATTTTCTATTGTTCGGGTGGTGAAAATATAATTATTAAATTTTTTTTTCTAATATTTGGTTTATGTTGAAATGGAATAAGCAGTATACATATTAAAATGTTCATTGAATTGCAAGTCGTGTGAGGTAAAGGGATGCATAATTTTTAGAGAAGGGCAATTTAGTCCCCACAATTTATATATTCTTTGACACATCATAAAATTACAATTTTTTTACTTTTTGAAATTAAGTAAGAAACGAATTGCAATTATTATATATAAAACATGTTATTAATGCAATTGTATTAAATTTGGATTAATCTTATACGGTTAATGATATTGAATGTTGTATACCCAAAAAATCAAATACCTAATGTTACAATGAGGATATTGGATACTACAAAACATTAAAAACGTAAAACCCAAAACATGATTTAAAAATATAAGAAAGAGTGTCAAATAAATTATTGAAATTATTGTTTTTGTGTATTTTGTCTATTGAACTAAAAAAGGTGTGCAATTGAATTATTAAATAAATGAAATATGTGCAATTAAGACATTTTTAAAAATTTCTTTTAAACATTTTGATCTTTCCTCCCTACTAGTATGTCAAATGAAAGGACGACTCTTAGTATATATCATTAAGCAATATGATCGAATTTCATCTTTTTTTTTTTTTTTTTAAAAGGATCAAATTTCATCAAAAAAAATTGAAAAAATATCTCAATTATACCTATTTTTCTTTGTTTAATTGTTTGATTGCATATTTTTTAAATTTAATGACCTAATTACATAAAAATAATAAATTCAGTTTACTTATTTTACATTTTTTTTCTAAAAATATATAAATGCAAATTTGTAAAAATCTTTTATTTAAATATGTATAAATATTAGGGAGTAATTGTTTATTAAAGAGTTAGATATGATGGTTTGGCAATTGGCAACATGGCGTGTGCTGCTGAAACTAGAAAATGACGTTTAAGGGCATTGGTGGGCCCGGGGACATTTAAGCCATGCCGATCACGAGATTTGGGGTTTGCACTGACAACTTACCTGTTGCGTGGGGACCACCGTCGCATGTTTTCCTAGGAATGTTTTGCCGGCCCATTTATTTTCTTTAATTAAATTTGGCCCAAAAATATAATTACTTTTTCTTTTTTGTCGAGCCCAATTATTTTATTTTATTTATTTTAAGTCTAACAAATACACAAACTCATATCTAGCGTCACCTGACGAGTGTCACTAATTTATAACATTGGTTTAGAATATAATGGTTGCGTTTGATTTACACATGAAAATCGGAACGGGAATTAAATATTTATAATAGTAATGAATTTTGGTAAAAATATTTTACATATTTATTATTTAGTAATATATGGTGAAATTAAAATGATTACTAATATTGATGTTTGATTATGTATAATTTTACTAATAAATTAATAGAGTCTTCAAATTGAATTATTATTATATTTGTAAAAGAAAATGGTCAAATAGGCCCTTGAACTTTAGTTAAAAGTGCAATTAAGCCCTTAAACTTTAAAAGAGTACAATTAAACACTCAAATTTATTATTTTAATGAATCTAAACCTAATAACAGGTAATTTACCTGAAATAACCAGTTACCAAAATTTCGACGATAAAATTTTTTTGTCAATTTTTAAAATTAAAAAAAAAATAAAAAAATCTGGCAACTGTTACCAGTCGTCTGGACGACTAATGGTCGCATTCTCTAGTAGAGACGACAACCAGATCTGGTCGCCATCTCCACTGGAGAAGGGGACCAGACGATGGTCTTCTCCATGGAAGAGACGACTGGTCTGGTCGTCTCCTCCATGGAGTAGACGACCAGATTTGATCGCCTTCTCCATGGAGAAGACGACCGGTCTAGTCGTATTCTCCGATGGAGAAAACCGTAAAATGACGCCGCCAATTTTGTTTTTTTTTTTGTTTTTTTGTTTTTTTGTTTTTTTTTTTTTCCGGTCGTGAACAGGGTTGACGGTTGAGTTACCAGTAAATCGGACTTAATTGACATATTTTAACAAGTTTGAATGTTTAATTGAACTTTTTTTAAGTTGAAGGGCTTAATTACACTTTCAAACAAAGTTCAATAGCTTATTTGATCATTTTCCCTATTTTTAACCCCATATAAATGTATGCAAATTAGGATTTTAGAATTCATAACTGTTTGTAACGGTTGTAACTTATTCAATCCGAATTAACAATACATTTTATTATTGTTAATTAAAATGTATTGAATTAAGGTTAGTTTATCTCTCCTATATCATTTATCCACTATTTAGGGATGGCAACGGGGCGGGGCGGGGGCGGGGAGTACACTCTCCGTCCCCGTCCCCGAAACCCCAACCCCGTCCCCGTCCCCGTCCCCATCCCCGGCGGGAAATTGAAAATACTCCCCATCCCCGTTCCCGCGGGGAATTAAGCGGGGACGAGGATTCCCCATCCCCGTTCAACTCTTAGTCAAAAATTTAAATTATTATAATTTTTAAAAACTAAACCTAAGTATTAATTTTAAAAATTATATATATATATATATATATATATATTTATTTATTTATTTATTTATTTATTTATTTATTTATAAAAATTATTCGGGGACGGGACGGGACGGGGCGGGGCGAGGAGGGGTATCCCCGTCCCCGTCCCCATCCCCGGTGGGGAATTGCATGTAATCCCCGTCTCCGTCCCCGTTCCCCCGAAAATTTTCACAATTCCCGTCCCCGTCGGGGTGGGGATCGGGGATCCCCATCGGGGACGGGGCATATTGCCATCCCTACCACTATTAGATAAAAACAAAATTTACGTACTATCATGAGTTTTTTTTTTTTTTTTACCAGGACTATGTGGTCTAATGGTACCTAGGTTGGACTTCCATTTGGAAGATTATGAGTTCAAGCCTCAGTGCAGGCGTTATTGGTTCTTTGTGTTTCAGTAGGTTGAGAAAGTACTATTAACTCTGTTACAGTGTAGTATATGTTCACAATTTTTTTCTCAACCTATTGAAGCACAAAGACTCAATGCCCCCACATAAGTTTAAACCTGTGACCTTCTATTTTAGAAAGTCACAATTATGTCGTTTGACCACAAGATCTTTGGCATAAGGTTTTTATCTTTAATAAATAAAATAAAATAAAAATTCTGGGTCAATATATGGAAGCAATCTAGTCTACTTTTGTATAAATTTTCCAGCGTAGATATTATCCTTTGCGTGCTTAAAGTCCGCCACAAATTGAATGAAAGACAAATCAACATTTCTAACTTTTCAACTTCATATGTTGTGCTTCTCAATCTTGTACAGCCACTTGGCCAGACAAAGAAAAAAAAAACCCTCCAAACACGTTATAATAAAGACTATCACAACATGTTGTTTTCTCCTTATACCCTTCAAACACGGCGGCATAGGTATATATTTTGTGCTCTATGCTCATTAGATTGTTCCTCTCTAGTCTACTCCATTCATGTTTCTCCCATGTTGTGTTGCGTTTCGAGTGTAAAGAGATAACGAAGAATGTTGGGGTGTTTCGGGTGTAAAGAGATGACGAAGAATATTAGGGTGTTGATGAAGAAAAGTGCGAGTTCAGGGTTTGCTACTCGATTGCTATGCTTTTCTTTGTTGTTGGCTTTCTTCATTGTGTTCCACATGGCTCGTCCGTCTTCCACCTCTACACTCCATGCTCTCATAGTTTCACCCATGCGGCATAGTACTCAAGGTATGTCTATAAGTTTACTAAGAACGCGTGAATTAAGTGGAAGAATTTTGTTCCTTTTAATTCAGTTAGGTTTGTATTTTTATTTTATAGTAACTAACATGCCACATAGATTTGAATTATTATTGACACTGTAACACTCAAGGTATGTTTTTAAATTCAGTGAGAACTTGTGATTTTAATAGAAGAAAATTGCTTCTTTACAATCGGTTAGATTTAGGTTTTGATGTTATTGTAATAGACACTTTGATAACCTAATATGATAATTTGAAATTGTGAGATAATTAAAACAATCTTAATTCATTACTATAACCCTTCTCTAATGTTAAGGTTTTGTGTTATATTAGTTTTATATACATTCCTTCTTTGTAAAGTTGGATTATTGTCAAACCTATTTGATTGAGGAAGTTTTTCATACCTCTACTACTCCACTCATAAGTTCAACTATGGATGAAACCCATCTTATAACCCTAACCAGCAAATAAGATAAACAGTAAACTAGCCTAAGAAGTTGGCTAAGTTGATCAGTTCAAACCGAGAATGTCAACAGTAATACCAATTTAATTGCCCGGCCAACTTAGCTGGAGTTACTCTATCAAACTTTTTAACTTGCTCTTGCTTAATGTTATATAACTTGAAAACCTTGCTTAATGTTATATAACTTGATTTTCATAATTTTTTTTTCTAGTGAATGTGGAAAATACACCAATGAATGGACCGACGACAAGGGACATAATTATATGTGACAGATCACAATATTACTACGACATTTGCTCCATTAATGGGCCGGCAGTGTTCGACCCAGCCCAGTCAACATTCTTCGTCAACAGCCCAAAATGCAACAATGGGCCCAATTTGACAGTTGAGAAGGTCCGGCCCAATATCAAAGAAGTCACTCTCACGGAAGGCCCATTAGGCCCAAACTGCGACGTTCACCACGCTGTTCCCGCGCTTGTATTCAGTGCGGGGGGGTACACCGGAAACTTCTTCCATGATTTCAACGATGGGTTCATTCCCCTCTTCATCACCGTTAATTCCGTCTTCCCAAATCGAGATTTTGTGTTGGTGATTTCCCAATTGGAGGATTGGTGGGTGGCCAAGTACAAAGGGTTATTGCGTAATTTCAGTAAATACGCGATCGTAGATTTTGACAGAGAAAACGTCACACATTGTTTTCCTAGGGTTTCGGTTGGTCTTATGTCGCACGGTTTCATGACCATAGATCCAAAGCAAATTCCCACTTCTAAAACCATTCTCGATTTCCGAACATTCTTAGCTACCACATATGGGAACATCGGCATGCCACCCGACGACACGGTCGCCAAGCCGCGTCTCGTGTTAACTAGTCGTAACGGCAGTTTAGGGCGTGTTATTCTGAATCAGTACGAAGTGAAAATGTTGGCTGAAAAGATAGGGTTTGAAGTAATTATGTTCGAACCGCATACAAATACATCCTTGGAAAAATCGTTTGGTCTGATAAACTCAAGTCACGCGATGCTAGGGGTGCACGGGGCTGCCCTAACGCACGCGATGTTTTTGCGTCCGGGCTCGGTGTTCATTCAAATTGTCCCGATAGGAGCGGACGGAGTATCGGAGCTTTGTTTTGGAAAGTTGGCCAAGAACTTGGAGCTAGAGTATGAGGAATACAAGATTGAAATGCATGAAAGCAACTTAGTAGACAAGTATGGGAAAGAAGATAGTGAAGTGTTGAATGATCCTTTGGCTCTTCAAGCAAGAGGTTGGTCCAAGGAGATTATGGATATCTATTTGAGAGAACAAAATGTAAGATTAGATCTAAAGAGGCTAAGAACATATCTGCAGAGAGCATATCACAAGGCAAAGGTTTTCATGGACAAAAATGGTTAATTTGTTTTACTTTCGATAGCATGTAATGCTCAATTATATAGAAAAATGTGTTCTTAATCTCTTAATTATGCAATTTTGTACCTTTTAGTCATAGAGAAATCCCAAACCTAGACTTATATTTCATATCTTATTAGTAAATGTTTCTCTTAAAAATCACATATGAAAATATACTACTGCTAAGAGCAACTTTTTGTTTGCATAATTAGGAGAGACACATATGGCTTAAGAGAGAGGTGAGGGGGAAATGGTCATTTGTCTATTTTAGGTTTTTGCACAATTTTTTAAATAGGAAAAAAAAAGGGGGGGGGGGGGGGGTGGTGAGACACCCACTCAACGGACATGTCAAAGAATGCTAGCCCACAAAAAACTCATTTGATGGGGCTGCTTCTAAGAGCAATCCCGTTAGAGCATTCTCAATAATAATGAGTTTTTTGTGGTTTTTATGTGCCAATTAGGAGAGAGAAGATGAAGAAATAGAAGGGAAGAAAAAGAAAAAGAAAATCTGTCAAAATCTGCCAAGAGAGAGAAGATCATCTGTGTTTTCCTTGTCCTCACCTATTGAGGGGCCCACAAAAAACTACAATAGCAGGAGAAAAAAAAAAAAAAAAAAAAAAAGCTAAAGACAACCCACCATATTTGTTAAAACCCCAAGATCTAGTTTTTACTATTCTAAAATTCAAGTAAAAGCCCCTATTGGGGATGCCCTTAGAGTTTTTAGAGTGATTTTTGGTGAAATTTTTGAAGTTTTAATCATAGGTGAAATTGAGAGAATGTGAGAGATCTCTATGGGAGAGACTAGTTTTTTGTCCCAACAATAGACTCTACTTAAGAAACAACATATTCCTCTTTTGCGCGTGTTAAAATAGCTTAATTCATTTTAAATTATTTTATTTATCTAAAATCTCATTTTTCTTTTCTTTTCTTTTTTGTTTTTTTTTTTCCTCTCATTCTCTCCTACTTGACATCTTAAAATTTGTGCAAAAAAAAAAAGCTATTGAGGATGCTATAAAGGGTTCCACAATTAAGAATGTATTCTGCAGCCAACTATTATGTAGTGTGATGGCATCCCGATTACCATTCCAAATAGATGGTCATAGCCTCCTAAGTTCAAACCCTGGTGGTGGGGGCTTAGATTTTTTAGACTGAAAATATTTGAGAGAGTATGGAACAGATACTACATTGTAAAGAATTATGTGTATTTCAAAAAAAGAAAAGTATTCTGCAATGAGCTAAAATGACTAGAATCACATAATTAGCAACTAAAAATGCATTTTCCCCTCAATTACAAGACCACCTATATAGTAGATACTAAATGAATATGTAACTCAGGTTTAAAGGAAGACCAAGATCATGTTATATTGCATCAAAATAGAAGATGAAACAAAAAATACATCCCCTTTCTTTGAGGGTGTTCTGTATCAATGTTATAGGCTAAAAAGAATATGATTAGTGCATATATATGATGTTCACATAGGAACAGCAGTCGACTCGCGAAGAATCTCATATACAGAAACAATGTTGTCTATGGCCAGTAAAACTATGATGACCCACTCTAGTAGATCCGACTTTCTGTTTTGAAGAACTTCCTGAAGAAAATGAATGTTATGCTGCACCAAAGAAGAAGAAGAATCTCTATCAAAATATGATTCGCATACCGGAATCAGCAGCCATGGAATATGGTTGAAGAATAACTCTTGGAGAGTAGTCTCGAGGCAGAAAGTTTGCGTGTTACTCAGTCCAATAGGCAGGCATATTAGGGTGTGAGTCAAACTATTCGTTTGCTACTCAGGTTTGGTTCAGTTATTGTCAAGTCGAGCCGGAGTAGTTCAAATAACGAATCAAACTGAATTCAAGCATTTTAATACTCAGCTCGAGAAGACCATGACCCTAATCGAGATTTTTTATTTTTAATATATTTTATATATAATATAAACATAATATTACAAATTTAGCTAATATATTTATATATTATAAATGATCAAGTCGAGATGTAATAATTAATTATGTTATTCACTTATTTGGTTGTAAAATAATTTTGTGTAAAAAATAGAAAGTTAAAGCTCAAGCTTCAAGTTTTCTATATTAGAAGTACCTCAACAAATTTGAGTTTGAAGTTAAGGTTGGCAAAGCGTTGTGTCACCTCATATTCCTCAGACAGGTACTCGAGTATCTGGGCATACTTTGCATCTCGCCAAGCAATTTCAGATCTGATCAATGAGATTTGAAAGTGAGAAAAAAATGTTAAATGCTGCATGAAAACTGGGATAATGAATTTTTGTGATATCAACTACTATCCAAGTATCCAACAATGGACAGTGAGCAGACCTCTCAAAAAGGCCGACTTTCAAAATTACATCGGCTAGGTTTGAATTAGCCTTGCCAACGAGCTGAAAGAGCTTCTTCCGGTCCATTGTGAAATTTCCAGTTCTCTCCATTTCACGATTTATATTAGCAAATTCTTCAACCATTCCATCAATCTACAGAGATACACAAATCATTAGATATCATCTATTGAACTGATGCATTCGTGGGCAAATAGTGCTATAGAAGGAAACATAAGATCAGCATATGATACAGAAGAACAATTACCAAGATTGAGATTTCTTATTTTCAGCAACTAAGATATTTAGGATTCATTCTATTCCTAGGATAATATTGTTATTTCCTATTTTAGCTTTTTTTTTGTAAACCTTAAGTAGCAGCATGCTCTGTAGTGAGAGGTCAGTTGGAATTGAAATAAAATCTCTTTTACCAACTCTCTCTCGTCTCAGGTTCAGCACTTCTGCTTCTCCTCATTCACAATTGGGAAGAACAGAAGGCCCATAACGAGGAGTATAACTCGTGATCATATCATGAAAATGCATGACATAATGCCAAAAATGTTACCTGTGAGACAAAGTAATCAAGCGCAATACTTTGCCCAAGCACACTGCTAATTACACGGATACTATCTGTGTCCAGATTTTTCAGAACAATGTAGTCCGGGCGTCCCTCCATATCCTCAATCAATGATGGCTTCTCTTTTACTGCATAATCTGGTAGGGCCCAAATGAAAAGTAGCATTAATATTTCAATTTGTAAATTGCCTATTGAAACTATGAAGTACATAATTTCCCAAAAGTGTGTAGTAAAAATGTCATACAAGCAGCTAGATCTAAATAAGGCGACAGCAAAGAAAGAAAACCATCTTTTTTTTTGTTATCTCACGTGGATAATGTGTAACATGAAATTGATTAAATAATAAACTATTAAATGCCCTAACCATCTTTTTTCATCTCCCGAAGCAATCCAGTCGCATATCTTCTCACTGTTTGAAGGTAGCATTCGGCTTCATCATCATCGACATTGAACAGGACAGCTGAACCATACTGGAAGACAACCATGTGGTGGAAGCAGTCTGCATTTTCTCCAATTCCAATGGCCTGACATCAAAAAGATTTATAGCATATCATAGTAACAAGACCAAGCCAGTACAATTTTTCGTTAATTAAACTACAGAGGAAGATGTAAATGAACAATATATTCCAATCCCTAAGTGATGCACTCTCTCGGGCACAAATCACACGAGTAGTCATGACACATGTTCAGTTTCAACCGATCCGGCTACTGTTGCAACCCAAACCTTAACTGGGATTCTAAGGTCCCCATCAAGATTCCTTTAGTTTCAGGAACCAGAACCACCCACTTTATACATTTTAAAATTTATCAGTTTGAACCAAAACTGTAAGCAGCGCCATCACAACAAACAACTATTTAGCAAAAGTGGCAGTATTTTATAATAAAAAAATAAGCATAGCAAAGGCATTAAGAAAATAGTGACCTGATAATGATGTTTTTTTCACTATTTTAAAAAAAAAAATAAAAAATGCTTGAGTTACCGGTTTACGCTTTACAAAATGGCTCTGGTAAGGCTCTATATTTAATTTCAAGACTAAGAAAGTAAAAATGGACACTATTCGCATAGTGGCCATGATAGGACAGGGACAAAGCAGAATGATAAAAATGCGAATTCAAGATGCAAAACATATCAAGAATATATTCATTCCACAAACTAACTGAATATTCATACGGTGAAGATGGCAATTTATCTAGACTTTAAGCGAGTACAAATGTCTCAATAAGTTCTGCTTACAGTGGATAATGGAAAGTTCCGAAATCTGAGTACTGTATAGTTTGATGAACGAGAGGCTGGAGGAATGACATTTCTGAAATGCTCTGCTTGCAAGCTCTTCAAATCAATACTGTCAAAATGATGAATCTGAGAAAGCAGGACATATAGAGGGGAAAAAACAACATCGACAGACATCATGAGCAAATGAGCGAATCCCATAAAAAGCATTCAAGATCACAAACAAATACACTGCTCATGAATAATCTCAAATACACCATCTAAAGTTCTAAGTCAAGTGTGAGACAAAACATCTAATCTTTTCCCGGAAGTTCTACAACCTGAGAGGTAACAAAACTAGGAAGATGCCAACTATGGTTGGAGATATTTCGATCCTAATATTGCTTCCGCTACTTCAAGGTTAGGTTTCTAGTAACTAAGCTTTTCTTCAATTCATTTTAGATTATATTTATATCTAACAATAGCATCATGATTGTGGCGAAGCAATGAGAATGCTGAAAAGGATAGGTGGTGGAATACAAGAAAGGAGCATACTAGGAATTATTACATTATGAAAAATGAAGATAAATGCTACATTCCTTTTAAAAATCAACAAAATTACAACTTTTTTTTAAACAAATAATGAACTTTTATCTAAACCCTAGCTCAATTCTCATGTCCCAAACAAAAAAATCTTATTCTCCGTGAAAAAAAAAAAAAAAAAAGAATAAAAAGATGCCAAAGGATATGAGTTGTGAGCAAAAAAGATGAAACAATGAACCTGGTGGAAAGAAAATAAGCTTTGATTGGAATTTTTCCAGATTCCACGACCGGTTTGCGCTTCGGGCTCTGAGCAAAATCAACAGGATTGCAGTCGAATTCATCGATGTAGAGAGGAGACGGCCACGGGGCGGCGGAAAACGACTTCAAATTCAGCAATCGAAATATGGGCGCTGAAGCTGAGGATGCAAAATCTGCGAACCTGCGAGGCGGGTTCGCGGGGGAGTTGGGATCGGTTGGTTTGGGCTTGGTGGCTATGCGTGAGAGAGTGAGAGCAGCAGCTCTCCACCTTCCCATGAACTGGGGTTTTGCAGTCTGTTTATTGATTCTGTGGCGCTACGGTGAGTGTTCTCGTCGGATTTTCATAGTCCGGGTATGGCGTCCGCCGCCGTGAACGGTCCAAAGTCGCTCCGTTCGGCTGACTATAG